CTAATATAAGCTGTATCGAAATTTTGGATATTCTCTTGTAGAAGATAGAGTTGGCTGCGTAGCCTCACAAGCGTAACCTAAGAGACTTCTTTTTTTATTTAACATGTTTCCCAAACACGGCAATTCATACAGATCTAAAGTTTGCCTGGACTTTATAAGTAGTTTTAATGGAAAAGGTTTGCAGGGCTTTCAATGGATCTAAATATCAGTGACTCAAAACGAGTATAAGGCCATAATGAGTCTCAAACCGAGTTACTTTATAAGTATTGCATTTAAGCGAATGTAGCCCCTAGAAACAAATCCATCGGATAAAAATTAAACTAGCTTAGTGAGCGTGGTCCCAGACTAAGTTTACCTGAAAAAATATAACAAGATTTAAGAGAATGCCTTCTAAAATTGAATAAAACAGGTGGTAGGCATGGCCTTGCAAAGGAGCTTTGGCCCAAGCTCTCATATGAGATGATCGTCCTCAGGCCTCCAAATTAATCTACGGAGCATTTTAAAAGTTACTGCATTTGGAAAATCTAGAGTAGTACGATTACCTTTAAATTAAATTTCTATTTGTTCGTCCCAATTCTTTCTGACTACATCGATTTGCCTCGTTCGTGACATTAAATTTTAAAACCATCCCTTTCTTAGTTCATATAAAGACTGCTTTTACCATGACTTAAAGATGTGAAGTCTACCATAGATCCTCCCTACTTATCATGGCAGGCCAAGCCGTCATTCAGGATTCAATCAGAAGGCAAAGACATCTGATCCCTCACGCTCCGACCGTCGTTCTGATCCTTACGTACCGTCCTCCCATGCCGACCTTGACCAACAGATTTATTCTCCGTTTCCTCTTGTACACAGTTATTTTCTATGCCGGCTTTCTGTGATTAAGCCTTCTCATTCCTATCATATTGATTATCCATAGTCCGAAGCAAATCGAAAAAAGTATCTGAAGTGCTGTACCATAGATGCTACCTCATATGCCATATAGTATCATTTAACAAATAAAAATCACTTAGCTTTGGTATTCATGATGTTATGGTTGATTAATTCAATAGTCAAAAAGTATAATTGAATATCCCCCCGATTACATTTTGCAATGCCAGTGTATGTATGCACGGGCGGAGATAAAAGCTACAACTTTCTGCAGGAATATTGCCACTAACACAAGTTATGGTTGAGTTACGAAAATCCCAAATCATGTTGGACTTAGCTGAATGATAAATCCCTTTAGTTTCGCCGAACTTCAAGGTGGATTTGATAAGATGTACAAACCAACTTTAGTATAGGAACAAGTCAACAGTTGCAAGAGGTGCACCAAGATTGAAGTGGATTGCTTACAGACTAATGATAGGACAAAGTTGAGCGCATAATGGATTGGCGGTCGTGATTGGTCAATATTGGCACGCCGTAGCGACTGGCTGCTCACTATTCTCGTGTTCATATCGTTGGCCAGCCGTATTAACATTTGGCGATTAAGGTGGTAACTCTAAGCCAACCGGGGTGGCTGGGCGCGCGCATTGGCTTATTAGACAAGTATCTTATTCGGCGGGGCAGTTGACAATCGACGTGCGTGACAGTCGAATCACCATCGAGACGCCACTAAATAGCCAATTACTTTCCCTCAAGTCTATAGCCAGTCAGAGAGTAGTTTTACATACAATCAATGGTGGCAACACCATGTCTCCGGTCGAAGCATTTAATTAAGACAATGAAATAACAAGCACAGGCCAGCTGATTTATTTGCTTTATTGTCCTTTGTATACCTAAAATGTGCCCCATTATTCGGAATCGCGCAAAATCCATTTTGCTACAGATACAAGGTACTCATATATGTATTTTTGAAGGTCACTTCAAAGCTTTACAAGGAAATTCCTTAAACCAGAAAAAGGAGAGTTTTTATTCACCTGATTTCAAAGAGTGTAATTAGAGCGTGATATCCAAATTGTGCAGATTGCCGGACTTGGTAAGCCAGATCTAAGGAAATTGAAGCTGGAAGCAGAAACCATTAATCCTATGGATCGTTTACTGTCTGTAAATTAAGGAAATAGAGATTGAAGTACACAACTGGAGTTTATATGAACAAACTGGGTTTCCTTAGTGATTTATTGTGACATTTCATATCGAGGGAAAAGTTGGTCGGAAGGAATTCGTGACTGGGTCTCACCGGAAATTGAAGGATTACTGCAGTGAAAACTGTTGGGCTGTGCGAATAAGCCCTCAGTTCACCGCCCTGTAACCTCGACGAAGCTATGATAAGCCTTTGCCTGTAGTGTGATAGGCATCGTCAGAGCAAGAAATCATAGTTTACCAAACAACGCACCAAATACAATGAGCCAAGAAAGTGAAGGTGGTCCAGTACAATCAAACAAGTTCTTATACAAAACTTTGAAATCCTAATAAAGCACCTCGTGATTCAGTTGGCTATTTCATGCCTTTTATATTTTTTACGGATAAGGAAGGTTGATGCATCAAGTGGAAGCGGATGTGTAGGTAGCGGTGTACTTGTTTACATAATAAAGGTACGATCCTGCGATTTTTTATTCGTCTTATTGCTTAGTGTGCATGTAAGGCCAGAGCTATGTGAAGTGAGAGTCATATTCAGATTCGGAGCTATTGAAGCGCTCTCTAATTCAGCAGTCCCTCTTCCTGTTTCTCCTTAAATGTATGCAGCAGCAACAGCTAGTTCGTGCCTAGTTCCCTAGATTCATTTATCATATTCGAGGTGTTGGTGGTTTTGCTTATTTCTATGGGCTTGCGAGCATTAAGCCTCAGCGGCATCTCCGCAACCTGCGTGATGCTATGCCCGCCACCATTTTGTGCTATGTATTAATAGGGTTCACCTAGCTCCGATTTTTAGGCCAATAGATATTTGCAGGCGGCTCTTGTGTGTAGACACTTACGCATGGGCGAGCAGCTCTCTCCCACATGGACACTGCCACGAGCACAAAGCCTCGCAACATCATGCTATTGGCCTGGATCCTACTTGTTTGCTACTCCTAAACAAGTTTTGGCAGATGCCTGAGTTTTTTAGTTCTAGCAAGGGAGAGAGCTCAAGCCGAGAACATGTACAGCTGGAAGAGGGCAGACCCTAGGGATAGCGAAAAGTGATGCTTTAGGCCTTGGGTCTCACTACAGAGCATCAAGAGGGGGCTTCGATTGGCATGTTGGAAAGTAATGCACAAGGGAAGCGAGCTGTCAAGTAGCTATGAGAGCAAGTGATCAAGGCCAGCCTGGGCTAAAGTGGATGCTGGGTAACCACGTATAGACGCAAGACAATGCGAATCGCGGGTGCGCAACTTGGTTGAGCGGATGGAACCAGAATAAGGCCACGAGTGCCAATTTGGCTCTGTTGCGAATTGAACATGGATAGGTTGGGTCTATGAATAAACAAGCGCAGCGTTCCAGCGACAAAATTACAAGGGGGCCCCTGAACAAGAGAAGAAACACAGAGTGGAGTCAATCGCCTCAATTATGCCCGTTCCATTAAAGTAAAGATGGAAAGTGGGAAGTCGAACTTGGCTGCTTTATTCTATTGCTTGCCATAGCGCGGCGGCAGACACGCTACATAGAGACAAACCTAGGAAGCATACCGGCGTCACTTGAGTGTATATAATGGAGACCTGAAAGATAAAAATAAAGACCTAGGCTAGTCCGAGGGGACCCTAAAAGGCAAGCAAAAACTTCAAGGATGCGGCAAACAATAACTGAACTTGCCAAGTAAAAGAAGGCCTCTGCAAGCAAATATATTTACAAGTACAATATATATTCTGTATCGCTCATCAAAAATGTACAAGAGCGGAAGTACGTCGCAGTAGAGTATAAATCACACTTAGCTGTACAGGCAACTAAGAAGGAACAGACGAAGGGAATCTGAAGGTCAGAGAAGACTGGGATGTAGCTCGTACACAAAAAACAGGTGGAGATAAGAGATAAAAGCGAACCAGTCACACGAGACCAAAGTCACTGATATTAAAATAAGTTCATGGGGCCACATAATTCGACAATTTATCAGAAAAAATAGCTGATAACGAATTAGTGTACGAGTCAAAGCCAGGGAGTACATATACACAAAACATCTCGGCGAACCGATCCAGGAGGCATTGTTGACGTTAGCAGGGGATGAGCTCTTGGAATTAATTAGTTACCGACATAGAAATGCGAGATTTGAAATCCATCTGATTACCAGCTGCACCATCAACCGTAGTTATTTGAGGAGCGAGAGCAGGCTGAAGAGAAGATGGCGCATAGGATGCCTCGATCATGGAATCCGGTCCACCATGACAACCAGGGATAGAAAAGAACCGTCCCCCAGCACTGCGAACCCTGTTCATGGCATGTTTATGGCGCGATTCATGTAGGTACTTCCTTCTTTCTTTGGGAATTCTTCCTTGAGCCTCAAGTTTTGCCCTAGCTTGTCGTCTTTTTAGGATTCGATTATACTGCTTGGCA